ACTCTGTCCTACCTGAGACACTCTGTCCTATGACACTCTGTCCTACCTGAGACACTCTGTCCTACGACACTCTGTCCTACCTGAGACACTCTGTCCTGAGACACTCTGTCCTACCTGAGACACTCTGACCTACCTGAAGCACTCTGTCCTACCTGAGACACTCTGTCCTATGACACTCTGTCCTACCTGAGACACTCTGTCCTACGACACTCTGTCCTACCTGAGACACTCTGTCCTACCTGAAACACTCTGTCCTACCTGAGACACTCTGTCCTATGACACTCTGTCCTACCTGAGACACTCTGTCCTACGACACTCTGTCCTACCTGAGACACTCTGTCCTGAGACACTCTGTNATACATGTACCCGTATCGAACCGTACTGAACCGTTTCGAACAGTGCTGTATCGAACAATACAAATTTACTTTATCAACTTGTCTTCTGAAGAGGCTCTGTGTTAAAGGATCAGAGGATCTGTGTTCGACTACTCCACCTAGGCTGCATTTTTGAGCGCAGATCCACTGCGTGTGACACAGTTCACACACAGAGTGTGAATTCATAATACTGGTAAATAGAATTTAATGTTCTGTGAGCGCAGATACAGTGGATATAAAAAGTCTACACACCCCTTCACAATACTAGGTTTTTGTGATGTACAAAGATGGGACAAATAAATTATTTCAGAACTTTTTCCACCTTCAATGTGAGCTGCAATTGGGGGTGAAAAATATAAATATTTTTCGGTGCGAAAGTAAAAGCGAAAACTGAAATAAGGTTATTGCATTAGTCTGCACACCCTTAAAGGGATCCATGATTACTTGTAACATTAGAATTTGTTTGATTAACGAATGTTTTAACTGCAAAATATAGTCTGTAAAAATACTGTAGTAAAAATAGTTTGTATAATGTATATTATAAAGCAAAAGGCAACATTTTATTTACACGCAAAGCTTTCTGGGTAAATTATGACGTCGACTAGGTCATCAATGTGAGGTTTCAAGCCAGCTTTTTTCACCCTGAAGGTTAATCTTGGACAACATCTGATGATTAGTTCTTTTAAATGAAACCAGAGAGCGTTGACAGAGAGGAGAAGGTAGAAATGACTCAGTCTGCAAGTGAAAATATGGATGGAGGACAACAGAGCTGCTTCATGGAAGYAGAACCTCAGCTTAGCCTGTTAGCTTTAGCGTTAGCCCCGATGCTATATTTCCTTATAGTGCTACCATGAAAGATAACAGGCTAAACTGAGATCATCCATCAACATGTTCAGCTGCAGTTTTAGTCATTTCTACATTCTTCTCTGTCATGTAGATGGAGGACCTAAGTGACGAGAGGAGACTGTATAGCAGCGCGCTGAGCTAATATATATGGCGATACAGCGATAGAATTTTCATTTACCCAGTGTGCTTTGCATGTAAAAACAAAAATGGCTCAACCCGTGTAATATAATTTTAAAATTAGTTAAAAAATTATAAAAACTCAACAGCCTACAGTATTTTATAGACTTTATTTTGAAGTTAAAATAAATGTTTATCAAATAAAGTCTACTGTTAAAAATAACTGTGGATCACTTTAAACTAATACTTTGTTGAAGCGCCTTTTACAGGACAGTGTTTTTGGGTAGGAGTCTATCATCATGGCACATCCTGACTGCCCACTCTTCTTTGCAAAAACGCTCCAAATCTGTCTGATTGCAAGAGCATCTCATGCACAGCCCTCCTCAGTTCATCTRGCAGATTTTATATGAGATTCAGGTCTGGACCCGGGCTGGGCCATTCCAAAACTTTAATCTCRTTCTTGTGAAGCCATTCTTTTGTTAATTTGGTTGTATGCTTTGGGTCGTTGTCATTTTGAAAGACAAAGTTTCTCTTTAGCTTTCCAGCAGAAGCCTAAAGYCGCTATCAATCAGAGGCACTGTAAACAATGTGAGTTGTGTACTGACTCTGATTTAACATGAATTTGAATGTGATTAGATGATTCTGAACACCCACATCCTCAGTTATAGGAGGGTGTGCACACRTATGCWATCACTTTATTTGAGTTTTTCTTTCTATAGTTTGCCTGTCTTGCTCTCTACATGACCCATTAGCCAATAATCAGCCCCCAGACACATTTAGTTTTTGCTACTCGACTGCAAACACAAGCCAAAAATCTTTTTATCTAAGAAATGTCATCTATTCATATAGAGATTACTTGTTAAGCCGCTTGATAAATTGTACACATTTCCCTCAAACAAACACGTAAGATTTTCAGACTTTAGTTGCAAAAACAGTTTTGTTCTTATTTTAATGAACTTAAAATCTGATTATTTTGTCCTTGCACAAAAAATGTGATATTATCATGCAAAATGCATCACCTCCATTACCCTACATGTTTATGTGCTTATCCTGAGCCAAAAGGCAGATTCTGAKCTTCTAAATATTTCCCTGTTGGCAGAGAAACATGCTCCTCAAGTGTAGTGTTGTTGATGTTACTTCCTTTTATTGTTTACAAGAACTAAAGTGATTTATGCCTCATTTGCCAGACCTTGTGTTGGATCATTAAAGTGCTGATAAAGTTGATTTGGTTCTGTTCTTTTCTTTTGTAAAAGACAGAAATAATATCTTTGTAAAATAAAATTCATATTTAATGCAACTACTTTGCAAACTCTTCTCTAGGTCTCAGCATGGTTCTTCACCACCTTCAGTGTGTCCGGTTTGAAGGAGAAGGTCCGTTATCTTGACAGCCTGCAGCAGCTCTTCACCTGCATCAAACCTGAGCAGATTGACATTCCTCCGTTTGTCCTGGAGTACGACGCACGAGTAAGCATCAGCACACGAATGCAAATCCACAAGTCACTGAAACTCACTGGAATACATTTTAAAGGGGACATATCACACTTTTAAATCTTTCCTTTTCACATTTAACTTATTCATTTAGTGTTTGGTCTGAATTCCTCATTATTTTACCTCTACAGGCCCCCTTCACCTCTGTATTGAATTGTGCCTGAGAGCAACTCATTTGCAGTCTGTTTAAAGTGTATCTTAACCCCCCTGTGAAAAGATAACTCCGCCCCAAGGCGAAATTTGAAAAATGCATCAAAGTGGGTAGGGGAGGGGGTGTGGGTAGGGGAAGGGGGGGTTAGAGAGCGGAGGTGTGGCCAGGACGAGAGAACGTGACAGGCAGCTAGCATTAGCATAATTGATGCTACATGGAGAGTGACCACAGTATCGCAGATAGTTACATCTCTGAACGTCTGAGGTGGAGGATTTTCACACCACACCAGCCTCGGGCAGAGGAGGAGGAGCGCTCCGACAGCCTGACAGAAAAAAAATAAAAGCATACAGCTGCAGCTGCTCACAAGATTGCTAGTTTAAATCAGGAATAAAAGTGTTGGGTCTTGTTTGACTGAAGTTCGGTCCGGTTCGCATGCATTTCAACCTCTTTGGATGTTTACCTGTATAAAGAGCCCTAAAAATCCATAAATTTTGCAAAAAGTCCATACAACTGCAGTACCACTGCTCTACCCATATGAGCAGCAAAAACACGTTTTTAGTCTAAATATTACAGATTTGAACAAATGCGCACAAAAACATAAAAATTACCACAGAAACAGTACTATATAACATTTTAGACACATTCTAGACAGTTTATCAGCTAAAAAAAGTTAATTTTGGAGTAAATTACTCTTTAAATGCAAAAGAGGCACTTCACATCCCGTCTCCCTCCACCTTGTTTGGCTATTTTAGTAGTTTGATAGCAGAGATACACTTATCCAGCAGCACAGAAACATTTGTTTACAAATTGATTAAAAGTTGTTAACAACAGAAGACTTGTCCATCCAGCCTCACATGTTGGAGCCAGAGGAGAAGGAAGTCTACGAACCTGCAGGACTGCAGATTCACTTGATCTGGAAGTCCATGATCTTGTTGAGCAGTTCCACAGCAAATACTGACATTATTGTTCAAAAAATATAATAGAGAATAGAGAAAACTGAATGAACTGAAAAGTATGACCCATATCACCATATCTACACAGCACTGGGAGAGGCAAAATTAAAAATTTCTACACTCTTAAAAACTCTAAGTACATAACAAAAAGTATTAATTTAAAAAGTGGATTTTGCATTATATGTCCTCTTTATAAGGTAAAAAAATATAAACAATTCTGCAAATTCATCATCTGAAAAACATCAAAGTTACATTACAGTACTTTGCTGATTTGATCAATCACTAGTAAGACAGGTGATAATGTTTTTATCCAAATCTCTTTGCCTGTATTTGTGTGTCTGTGTATTATTGAAATATCCAATGGGCCACTGGATGATTTTTAATTACTTGCCAAAAGTAGTCATTGAATGTGCATTTATAACTTATTCAAAATGGCTGCCACAGCCAATTGACATTAAAAAGCATGAAAATGGCTCAGATCAGTTAAATTTACATAATTCTGACCTAAAATCTATTGTGGAAATAGCTGAGATTGATCACCAACGTATTTTCTAACACTAACAGTAACAGATCTTGAATGTACATTTAACATTCTTTTATAATTTTGATCCGTCTTGATCATGAATTAGTATTGTTTTTTTGTTTGTTTGTTTGTTTGTTTTTTGCAGTCAACTCTTCGAACTGTAAGTTCAGCAGATTATAGTGGAAAGAAAAACATCCTGTAGCCCACTGATATTAAAGAAAACAGAAAAAATGTTTTCTTTTTGAATAAAAATAATCATCTGATCTAAAGACACACACACACACACACACACACAC